CCAAATTTGGCAATGTGACCGTGCGCGAAGGGGGAACTGGATTCATTATGTGGAAGAAGGGGACGATAGTCCACTCCTGGGCTTTGCCAACGAAATAAATCTTAGGAGATATTATAATAAGTAATAACAACTGACAGCGATTTTAATCTGAGGGTAAACTAAACTGTACTACCTTTATTTATACTGGATAGCTCTATAGTCCTAAACTGTTCTCCTTAGAGGTCCAGTAAGGATCATCTCGTTAACAGGAAAACTTCTTAAGAAAAATTTAAAATTCCGATATGAACCTTTAGAAGGCAATTTTTTCAATATCACGTATTTGCGACGGAAAGTGTTCAAAACCTAAAATCTTTTTGGCGTTCCTCTCAAAATTACTTTGTTTTAGCTTTATTCGATATATTTTAGCAACAGTTGAAGCAATAATTTACGAAACTCGCGTTTTGGCTGGTATTGCGATTTTCCTGCAGTTTTTTCCGTTGACAAACAGCATTGAATTTCACCGACAGTTAAATGTTTTCATTCCACTAAACGAATACGCAGATTAGGTGAGCTGCACGCAAAGAAAGGTGAAACACGACGTGCAGTGAACTGATAGCTGTTAGTACTAGAGCCAAAACGACTATTCGAATTCACCTTGACGTTCAATGTTCCTTTTTCCATTTCCAGATTAAAGGAAATATCAGCGGAACAACCAGGTGGGACAGAACACTTATGAACACACTTCTTTTCGCTCTGAGCAATATCTGCATTAATTTCGTCATAGTCGATGATTCCAACTTCAGCACTGAGTGGATCAAAGCTAAAGTTACTCAATTGAACTTTCCACGTGTGGACTCCGGAATCAAAGTAACATCCACCTACTCTGCAACAGTAATCACCATCACTCCTCATTGTACGTCCACCATCAGTAATACGACCTTTACCATGAGCATAACTTATAACCCACTTCACTTGTTTTGTCAAAGAACAATTTGGAGCAGGCGTTCCATTGATGGATACCTCGAACTTCAACATTCCACCCTGACGAGGACAACAGCTGATAGTGTAGGAGCTATCCTTATTATCAGTAACGACAACATCACTGACCTCCATTCCAGTGAACGACGGTTTGATGTCCTGACCTCCGCATCTTAATCTTCGGTTATTTTTGTCGTGACAGATTAATGTTATGGAGTACTGTTTCCCAGGATTAAATGTTGCTTTGGTTTCTTTAAAGGAAGCCGTGCAACTTTCAGGATTTGCTACAACGTCATCTACGTCATAGTCAATCAACAACTGTTTCTTTTTTTCCTGCACCGACGAAGGAATGATAAACACCATGTCTTCAGTGACACAAGGCTTTGTTTGATCTTTAACTGCTTTCAGCTGCTCCAAAGACTGCAAAATGTACTTCTCCATGCTCAATATTTGAACATCGTTGCTATTCTTGAACGCTTGCTCTGTAAACTCGATGCTGCTTTCACAACTTGCTAAAGCCACTTCTAAGACCTCTAACTGGGCGTGAATCTGTTTTTGTTTGGAATTCGTAATGGAAGTCGCTTTTTCCGTCATTTCTCTTTTCCGAGATTCCACAGCTTTGACAAGTTGATCGAAGTGCTGACTGATTTCTGAGATTGTTGACGTCTTCTTAGCCTCCAGATCTTCATCAAATTTCTTCAGGTTTGCAATTCCCTGTGCGACTCTTCCTTTTCTTTGCTTTACTTCATTAAGATTGCTTTGCAAATGACGTTTTTCTTCGACAGCGACTTCTTCAACAAACCCATATTCATGCTGCCGATGATCAACGATGGTGCAATCTCTACAAATGGTTGTTTGACATGTTTTACAAAACAACTTGATGACTTCTTCCTTGTGTTTGGGACATCGTATCTTCTCAGCAATGTTCTGGGGACCTGGATTGGATTTCAATTGCTCCATGGTCACCAGCTCGTGATGTTTCATTGACCGAGATCGTTTATGAAACTCGGTACAATATTGACAAAGAAATATTCCACATTCATTGCAACGGCTTTGAGCAGCTTCTTCACTGTCACAGCTGTCGCAAAGAATCTTCTTCGCAGCGGGCTTGTCATTTGTCAGCGCCATTGTTGCTAGGAGATTGTTGACGAAAAAGTTTGATGGCAGAGTGGAAACAGTGTTTTCGTTGACCTATGCATTGGATAACGTTTTTAGAACAAGTAAATAAAATTATCATAGGGGCTTTCTTTACGTCCAGCTACAAGTTGGCTGGTCAGGTCTATTAAACGACTGAAAAAATCCAAATATATGTCTTAGAGAATAGACTAGTTAAAGCAAGAACTAAACATACGATAAACAACAATACCTGGACTTCAGTACATAACAAGTTTTCTGATCTACGGAAAGTTTTAAAGTATTTTCTCGGGGTTATACAAGGGTTGTAATTTTCAAGACTGGGGAAAATAAGTTCCCTCAAATTTTTGCTGTAACAGTCAGAAAAACGTTGTACTGAATAGCCCACACCTCAAAGCACTCCCTAGACCTTTTAAAAGTACAATTTTCCAATTGCGTCAATTTCCTAGTTTAGAGCAGCTTGCATCAACTGGTCATAGGACTTATTCATTAGAGCCAAATTTAGCTAGCTACAGACACGCAAAAATCTTCACATCTTGTCAACACTGAACAGACTATATACTGAACGGTATATCAACCTCTAAGCTGTCCTAACAATAAATGCAACATATGATAGTTATCTGATCAGTAAACGTTTATGCAATTACTGTTTAATTAATGTTTGTTCCAAAAATGTAAGCCGGAAAATTGGACGGTGTTTCCTTCAACCATCCATAACAAGCCAAAATTTCTAAAATACTAAAATTATCCTGACCATAATATATAATACTTCAGAAAAGTTTTGTTGCATCTATTAAATGAGAGGCCCACATTCTGAAATTCTGGCTAACTCCAGGATTGGAAATAACCCCCTGTCTACCTCATGTCAATTCCGGGTGATTTAGTTTCTACGCTGTTTATCAGGTATTATATGGAAACAGAGTAAAAATCTTCATAAAATGCATTTACTGTAGCATCAAATACAGTTGAAAATATGATTTATCATTATTGTGTACAGCAAAATAAGATATCATGCTAACATTAACCATAGGCAGCCCAAAATTCCATGTTTTTTTACCTTAAATAAATCAATTTTATGCCTAATATACCTTTCATAGCTGGCGGAATTGATAATTTGTCGCGCGATAGTCGGTCAATCTCGCGTGACGTTTGTGTAGTCGTATCAGTTTAATATATTCTCAAGGTAGGCAACTCGGCGAACAAAATATAAACAAATCATCGGCCGTTAACGCAAGCACTTTAAAAACCCACAAATATCTCGTAAACAAATACCAATAATAAAACAAAAACTACAGCATATTAAACACGGATAATTTTGCTACATTCTTACAAATTTTCCCGTTTTAAATCCTTTCCGAAGCATGTGAAAAAAGCGAGAGTTTTGGGGCTTTTTTTGGGTTTTGGGGCTTGTTTTTCAAAACCCATCCAGGGGTCACTCATCCAGCCAATTCGTCATCTTTTTTAATTTTAAGTCTTCCCCTATTGGCTAAAAGTTTAGCAAAAATGATGTCATTTCGTCTTGTGGAAAGGAGAAACCGGGGGGGCAAGACATTGGTTTTTGAGTATTTTTGCAAATTATTCATCTCAATGGAAAGCAAACTACAGAATTGCAAAAATACGACGTACGCGGTGTTTATTTTTTCCGTATTTTGCAAATTTTTCCTTCATTACATTTCAAACGTAATTTAAAAGGTAAGTAAGATTAGAATACTATTTGTTTAGCTTTATATTAAAGTGATTTTTTTCCTTTTACCTACCGAAAAAATTCAAAAACTATTTCACGACGTGAAGCTTTATATTTGTTTTTATTTTTTATTGAAAAACAAGAATAAATCCTTGTGTCAAGTTTACAGAAGAAGCGATATGTAATTCATTGTGCTCAAAAAGCTTTATTTATACGGTAAGCTCTCGCTTTGGTTATTTATAGTATCAAAGAATATTTTAAAAACTTTTACAAGATACAGTATGCATTGTTTATAAAAACAGGAATATAAAAAATCGCTATTTGCAAATATAAAACACTGCGTAAAGTTGCATATATTTCGTGCATGCATTCAATAAAAACAACGTTTAGGCCTAAAAGTTCTTGACAAAAGCAAGTTTTAAAATAAAGTGTTGCATATAAAATTATTCAAGCCATTTAAATGGCCTGACTGTCTATATTAAAATGGCAAAACAGGAAAGCAAAGCATGTTTTTTTGCTGTCTACGGGCCAAAACAAGACTTAATAGCTTACGTCAAAATATGAGCGTACGTCGAAGGTCAGCTCGCAGTATAAAAACTATACAAAGTCGTACAGGCCAACACAGTTCAAAACTCACCGGCATAACATGAAAATCATCATGAATTCCCGTGGTTATAGATTTGTTTCCATGTAGATTCATTGAGCAATCCACGATTATTAAACTCCACAATATTGCTGCAAATGTGCATATAAATATTCCACAAACACCATTCAATAGCCGCGAAAAACCAGTCAAACTATCCTGAATCATATCCCTTTATAATGAATTTTGAATCTTGGTGCGAGACCTGCAAAAAAGAAACAAGAAAAAGGCTTATACCGAAATAATCAAAAGTTTTCAGTACTACAGATAGTTATCGAAAACAGACAACAGGTCATCAAATTCAAAGTCGAAAAGTTTTGTTTTTTTCACATAAAATGTTGAAATCCAACATGCTCTACTACAAAATGTGTCTTCTATTACTTTAAAAAGAACTTCTTACCAGAAAAAAGAGCCTTCCAATGCCAAAAACGGATGAAAAAACGTGTTAAAAAGTAGAAAAACACTTTTTATCTTTCGGTTTATTAATTAAACTGACCAATGACCATGCCGTCGAACTATTAACAGGTTTGACAGGAATTGCGATTTCACGTGACCAACGCATGTGTGACGTAATGAGTGACTTCCACTTCGGGCAATAAAAAATGGGAAAACCCCTTAATACGTATGTGACATTCTAATTTTTAGACACCGTCCTGGTTTTGTCCTGGTATTCCTCATGGACGTTCTTGAAATTAATGCAACTCATTTGTTTTGGTAGGTATCTCCTGATTCTTCTGTATATTTCTCTCCAAGATCATGTAAATTTTAATACTTAACAAAATCAATTGATTTTCCTCCAGGATACTTAAGAACTACGAATACATTGAAGGAGCTTCAGTAACAGCGTCTTCAGTACTAGATTTAGCATTGGATGCTGGATTAAGCATTGGCTCGCTGACATTGGGTCACTGCGTACGCAAGATTTGGAAAACGAAAGTAAAGAGCCACAGACGCGATTCACCTAAAAAGTTATATTACGATAATATTGCATTACGTTCCCATGATTGGGAGCCGATCACTGAACTTAACAACACAACTTTGGAAAAAATTATCGTAGTATGTCTAAAACATCATGGTTGGTTTGTTGCGTCTAGTAGTTTTGACGATCAACGAGTTGTGTTAATGAAAGAGCAAACGAACGACTTACGAGTGGACACTCGACGCTTAATATTTCAAATTATTGTGCAGTTGGGTTCAGAGGAAGACATCAAGTTCAGCACATATGGACAAGAGTTATCGATGAGCCACAGCTATACACTCGATGAGACCCATGTCTCTTGTTCAGCTATTGATATTGTGATTAGTTTCGTTGAGACAGCGACACCATGCTTGGGACAGCCAGTGCCAGCAAATACCAACGAGTTCCTTAAATTTCCTGTCTCTAATTCTAAAGTAATTTCTCTCGCCATACCTGCAGCTGGAACAATGCAGAATGAGACGCGACTTGTATCTCTCTCTTGTACTTTTCTATCGCACTCTTGTCCCAATCCTATTACCAATGTTATTACGTGTCACGAATGCTCTTCCGTATACAGGTTATTTAGAAAGAGAGAGTGCAAGAGGGAGAAGGCTATGGGATCCAAGGTATATAATTTGCAATTGTAATGTATCTTAATTTAAAGTCCAATCGTTGAAAAAGCGACATTTTATCAAGTAGCAACAAGTATATTGCATTTAGCCGTTGTCTGTTCAGTAATAGATGTGCAGATGACGTTAGAACGTGGTAAGAACAAAAATTGATCACGGCTCTAGACCAATAAAAACACCTAAAGTATTTTAATTATTATATACTAACATATTGTTTTCACAATATATATGTAGAAACCACCGCATATCAAATGCAATCAAATCAACTTGTCCAGAAAGGGCCTGGAAGTGAAGGTGGATAATCAGAAGGAAAAAATGAAGAAGGAATTGAAACGACTAAGAGAAGAATCTGAAGATGGTATAGAGTTCGTAGATGAAGATCATGCAGATCTGGTGGAAATTGTTAGCACAACCGAGACAAAAGACATGCCACCGGAGATGAAGTTGTTATGGGAAATTCAAATGAAGCAGCTTTCTGCAAAATCTGCAAATGGTCATCGATGGGATCCCAGGTATAACATTACATAACTATTTCTAGCGCTTAGATATTCCAACCGTTATAAAATAATCTATTATTTTCACTGTATTTCTGTACACATTTGTATCTTTGCCCTGTCACAATGTGGTAAGTCTACGCAAAAACATTAACAAAATGCAATCTCGTTACTCTTTCAAGCTTTTATGTTGCATTCTATTGACTACTTACATTCCAAATTTTACAATTATTAGGATTGTGAGACTTGCCTTGGATATTTATTGCAAGAGTCCAAAATCGCTGGACTCCATGCGTGAATATATCATACTACCAAGTAATCGTCTTATCAGGTATAAATTACTGTTATACACATACTAATTTTAAGGATTTTCCACATTCAAAAATATTTTCGGAAAATTTGTGTTCTGTTGATCCAGCAACTCGATCGTCATTCCAACATGCTGCCTTAAATTCACGTAATTTAGGTATTACAAAAATTCAGTAGCCCAAAAACCTGGATGGAATCACGAGACAATCGCATGGTGCAAACATGAGGCTGAACGCCAAAAATTAAAAGAGCAAGATTACTGGGGTGGTTTGGTATTAGATGAGATGAAAATCCAGATAAACACGAGTGTGAATGTATGTGAACGCCGAAGTTCATTAGTATTTGATTAAGAACGATTAGGACACATGCCATATGACTTCTAGAATTAGCTTCGCGCATATCTTTATGAAATGTTTATTGTGTACAGGAGGATTTACAGATGACTGTAAAAGGCGGACGCCATCAGTTAACAGGAATGGTCTCTCTTGGACATTTCCACGACGCAATGGAAAATATAAAATCTGGTAAGAAAATTACCATGCTTCTCATGAAGAACATAACATCAAGATTATATCATGTACTATTTCTGTTTAGGTCAGTCATCTGTAGATCTAGCAACACACCTTCTACAATTTATCTTCCTCAGCGACTGCGGTTTTCGATTTCCATTAGCACATTTTCCTACGAAACAATGTCCACCCTCTACATTGTATCTGCAGTTTTGGGAAGGTATAATGCAAATGAAAAGAGCTGGTTTTACGTAAGTTTCCTAAATGACAAAATAGTTCATTGCATTTCGGTTTCCCTATAATAAGCATGTATTCGTCTCAATTTTTCTAGTATTTATCATGCAATTTGTGACGGTGGAGATCCGAATCGTCAGTTTATCAACATCCATTTCCCAGACGCTAATCCACGAGAGCTGCATTTCACTGGATGCAATATCTTGACAGAAGATCCAATGATATTTATAATGGATTGCAAGGTATTTTTTACTAAAGTATATTAGGCTACTGTGTTACTCTAGTATAGTGAAGGTTGATGTTGAGAGTTATGCAGAGATTTTAGATGAAAAAATAATTATTGTATTGATGTGATACATGAAGTAACCGATTTTTTATTAAAATTATTTAATATTTTTTCGCGCAATGTAGCACAACGTTAAGAAGCTGAGAAATAACATCGAGAAAAGCTCACCTCGAGGTAAAAGGCAACTTGAAAAGGATGGCAAGAAAATCCTGTGGTCTCATTGGGAAGAAGCTTATTGTTGGGACCAAAGCAACAATTCTTGCCCCATTCATGAAAGATTAAAAAAAGATCATTTCCACCTTACCCCAAGCTCCAGAATGAGGAATGCACTGGCAGAGGATGTCCTGGATAAGCGTTATTGAGATGTTATTGCTCATGCAGATGTTATTGCTCATGCAGGTTAGAAATTTGAGATACACGTTGACTGTACCGGCTTTATTTTAGAGCCATCTTCAGGGAACATGATACATTATAAACATGAGAAAAACGCAACACTGCATTTGCCAACTAAAATTTGACTCAAGCGGGATTTGAACACGCATATCTAGCGTATCGGACTGGATATGCGAGTCAACGTTTAGTTGAGAAATGCAGTATTGGGTTTTCCTCATGTTTATAATGTATCATGTAATGGGTTTGCAGATCGACTATTGTGCTCCGAAAGTTTTTATTAATTTTCTGTATCTTCTCAAGTGTATGCATGGAAAATGGAAAATTCTCAAGACCCAATAAAATCAATAGTGCAGTTCCTTTCATTTGGGCTTTAAATATTCGGTTTCAAGGGTTGCTCTTATCATTTAAAGGCGTATAAAGATCACCTTGGGACCATTGAAGAAGACGATCCTGGCAGACTAGATTTGACCATAACTTTGCTCAAGCATACAAGCAACATGGTCGACTTATTCTCCGATAAGCATGGTATTTACGACATTAATGACAACCGGATACGTGCATTGAATGATTCGTTGAAATTCTTCACATAGTGGGAACAACAAACGACCACTGGTAAAGAGTTTGTGTCCACTAAGCTATGGTTTGACATGCAGTCTATGATTCTCGGCTTCACATCCATGGTAAGAGAAAAACTATCACGGTTTCCTGGATCAGTGATAAAGCCAGCCATAGTCAACCAAGATTTAGTGGAGAATCACTTCTCACAACTACGGGGGGCTAATGGTCAAAACGAGAACCTGACATATCAACTGACACAGGGAACCCAGAACTCTGTCATTTTCGGGCAGTCGATTGTAAGCAAGAAAAGCAACACTGGGGGGATGAAGAGTAACTCGTTTGTTGGTTTGCCAAACAAGTCACTGTTTGGCAGAAATAAAAAACTGAAGTTGGCAGCTACTGCAGGGTTGCTCATCAATGAAAACGAACATAGTCTGTAGAATATTAGCCATTAGTATTTTGCACAAGTAAACATAACAAATCCTACACGTTGATTGGTCAAAATTGACGTATTAAGCTGTTTTATTTTTCACCCTGCTCGGGTGAAAACTGTGCTCACGTTCAGACGTGTCCAAATGAGCTCTACAAATTTTAAAAATATCGATCAAATGATCTGTATGTAGTCGTTTTCTAAGTTTTGGTGTCCTCAAATTAAATTTTAAATCCTCCGATCGTTAAATTTGCTCACTCGCTAGTTTACTACAAAATTAAAATGTCAGTAAAAACTCGTTCGGCTGGCCTGGTGGGGGATTCCTTTGCTGAATTTGCCAGGAATATGGACGATTATTTAAAGAATTCAAGTGTGTTTAAAGAAACCATTGCCGGTGCAGTTGTTGTGGCAGTCGAAGAGACTGTAAAGCCTTTACATACAGAAATTGCTTCCCTCAAAGACGAAGTAACACACCTTAAAGCAAAGCTTGCAAATGTAGAAGTTAAGGCAAACGACAACGAGCAATACTCCAGAAGAAACAATATACGAATTTTCGGTCTTGCCGAAGAGATTAAAGAGGATTGCTACGACAAAGTACTTAAGTTATGTGAGAATCATTTAAATATCGAAGTTAGCAGAGATGAAATCGATCGGGCGCATCGCGTTGGCCAACTAAAGCAAGTCAGCAGTGGTCAACCAAAGCCAGCCCCACGAGCTATGATAGTCAAATTGATATGTTATACCACTAAAATGAAATTTATGAAAGCCAGAAGAAATCTCAGGGGCAGACAAATTTATATCAATGAAGATCTGACGAAATCAAATCATCAGTTATTATTGTATACAAAAGCAAATTGCTCGTCAGATGTCAAAATCTATTCAGTTGATGGTACTGTTGTTGCGCGAACGGATCGTCGAGTTTATCGTATTAAACATAAAGAAGATCTAGTCAAGTATGGTCTGTTATATTCAAAGGATTCCAAGGTCATTGAAGTTAATGAGGATGCCGACTCGTCAAAGCGTTAAGTAACACTATTACTAATGATTTACTTTCTTAATTTTGTATTACTACTTTCAGTATTTGTGTGTATTATTACTATGGAATATTTATATATTTATGTTCGGCAGCAGGAGTTCAGTTATTCCTTTTACCTCCAGATCTGGTTAAATGGGGGTTAGTTTACAAATTTATCGGGCAGCAATTGGACTTTTTAACTGCTACAAATTCAATTATTCTACTGGTAGACTTTTTGTAAGAACTTTAAACATATATTTACATATTGGGATATTTCTTGCTCTTTTCTTTCTAATTTGTTCGGATGTTGAACAAAATCCTGGCCCTGATCGCCTAATTTCGCTAAAAATCGGTCATTTAAATGTTCGCAGTTTAAACCCGCGTAGAAATTCAACTAATAAATTCGATGAAATTGTCTCTGTAATGCTAGACGAAAATTTTAAGATTTTTGGTTATAGTGAGACATGGTTAAACGATTCCATATCCAATGATCTGTTTAATATTCCTGGCTATTGTCCCTTAATACGTTTGGATAGATCTGATGGCAGGCGAGGCGGTGGTGTTGCCTTGCACGTGTCTTCCGAATTTGTTCCAAAAAGGAGGACTGATTTAGAGTCCCTTGGGTTTGAAATTCTGTGGGTTGAAATCAAAATTAAGTCTATTTCGCTAGTATGTGCAACTTGTTATAGACCTCCGTGCAATGATGTAGATGTTAATACAGCGTTTCTAAGTAACTTGCAAATTTGTTTAGATAAAATTCAATTAGAGCCGAATAAATTAATAGTTTTGCTAGGGGATTTTAATGCTCATTATGATTTCAGCAATTCTTCAGATTCAAGTGATTTTGGCTCTTCCTTATATTGCTGGATGGAATGCAATAGTTTATTTCAAGCTATAAATGAACCAACACGCATAACATCAACTGGTTCAACACGTTTAGATTTAATTATTACTAATTCTCCTGGTTATTTTGTAAGTTCAGGCACCCTAAGTCCGCCGGCAAATTGTGATCATTGTATAGTATACGCTAAATTAAGTATTCTTTTATCAAAACTTAAATGTTTTAAGCGCACAGTTTGGAATTATCAAAATATTGACGAAGCAGAATTGAACTATGCTTTGTTAAATTATGAATGGGAAAGATGTTTTACTGGTGGTGAAAATGTGAATATTATATTTAATAATTGGTTTTCAAGTTTCCAACATGTTGTTGAGGAATATATTCCCCGAAAAACAGTTGTTATTCGTCCGCACGATAAACCGTGGATGGATGGCAACGTTAGGAGAGCTATCAGAAAACGTAACCGATTATTAAAAAGGTACTCAAGACATAAAACGCCAGCATCTTGGGAAAGATATAGGATACAAAGAAATCGAACAACCAGTTTAATTCGATCAAACAAAGTTAAATATTATGCCAGTCTAAATCAGGACCTTGGTGATCCCAAAATAAGTCCTAAAAAGTGGTGGGGAATTGTCAAGTCACTTTATGGTCAAAAAATGCGTGTTGCTGTACCAACGCTTATTGAGGGTCAAAATGTAATAAGCGATGCTAGAGCTAAAGCAGAATTATTGAACGACTATTTTAGTAGTCAGAGCATGATCGACGATAGTGCTGCAATCCTTCCTCACGAAATAGTTCCATTTCAGTCAGCTACTTTCTTGTCCATTATTACCACCACCGAAAGTGAAATAAATCGCTTACTTCGACGTTTGGACACAACAAAAGCTTGTGGTCCCGACGGAATCAGTAATAAAATAATTAAGGTTAGTGCAGATGGCATAACGAATGTTTTCACACGGTTGGTTAACTTATCATTGTCCTCTGGCGTTTTTCCAGAACAATGGAAGATGGCTAATGTTATTCCTTTATCCAAAACTACAG